ATTCCCATAACGGAAAAAAGGTTAAGTTTCTTGAGAAAAAACTTTTAATATGGTCTATAGTTCTTATTGAATGGGATGCTAGAGTTATGGGAGCATCCTTGATAGACACACCTATATGAGTGAGGAAGTGGGGTCGCTTTCTATGAGAATTGGGCTAATTCTCTAGGACACTCATAGAAGCCGGGATCAAGCACAAGGCCGTTAATGTGCTAGCTACGAAACTCGTCGCGAGTACCTAAATATAATATGTGTGATACAATATCTGTTTCACTTAAAAAGCCTTAGTTCAAGACAATATTTACTATTGGCTTGAGAGAAATATTGTTGAAACACTAAGTAAGGGTTTAAGCCATTGGCACCCTTATTATGTATTATATTTGTTTCTTTACCCAAAATTATATGGCTAATATTTTATTAAAAATAAGTGCGGGATTGTTGGATTATTTTTAATAAAAAATATATTTTATATAAAAGGAGGTATAAGTTACTTGTTTGAAACAGTAACTTATACCTCATCACTTTGAGGTATAAATTACTGTTTCAAACGAGTAACTTATACATTAAAATGAAAGTCTGCATCGATTTTTTTACAACGTCTTTTTTTTTATATACGTTTTTTTCGTTTATTCAATCAATCCAAGCAACCAACGGGCAAATTTTTTCCTATATAAATAGCACTTGCCATTTGGTGAACCTCACTTGAAAACAAAAACATTTCCTTGCTTAGTGGAGAGTGAAACAAAATAGCATCAATTTTTTTCCCTTTATTTTGCTTAGAGAGAAAAAGTTTCTTTTAATTTTATTACTTTTTATTTCCCACTAAAAGCCATATAATTTTTTATTGTTAATCTTTCTTTGGGTAAGAGTGATGTTGTTTTATAATTGAGTTTCAAGTCTTACAAGTAGTGCAAACTTGTCAAGACACGGCAAGGTGACTCGAGCTTGTTATATCCCTAGGACGGCGTGCAATATATCCCCGATCCGTTGCATCGAAAAATTCTGCGGATGGCGCGTATCGTCTCAAGAAAGTAACATGGTTGTGCCTCGAGACAGCTTAGCTATAAAAATTCAAGTAAAGTTGCTTTGGTGTTTTTCACTCAAAATTTTCAGGTAATATTTTTCTATTTTTCCAACATATGTTTTAGTAAAAATTCAAATTAGAAATTCCGTAATTAAATATTTATGCACGAAATTTCATTGATTTTTTAAAATCTTTTATATTGTTTAAGTAAAAATAAAAGTAGAAATTTAGTATTTAAGGATATACATATAATTTCATTGATTTTTTTTTCAAATTACGACGATTCTAAGTCTAATTTTTTTAAAGTATAAATCTAGTTAAAATCTATTTACTTATATGATTGCTACTCTAAATATAAATTTCATCAAATTCTAATCATGGGTATACTCATTATAATTTAAAACAATCTTACATAAATTTATATGTGTAACATGCCAGATGTCGATTAAATGAGACCTAACATGCCCAATTCTCAGTTTGTAATGTTTTACTATCTCATTTTAATTTATAAATATGATTCCTAATCTACTTCAAATACACAACAAATTAAGTTTCATAGCGTGCCAGTCAAATGATTTATAATTTATTTACTGTATAGAAACTTAGTTAAATTCTAACTTTTTTTGTATAATTAGTACATAGAGATTTATTAAACACTTAATTGATTAACATATTTCTTAACATGATCATGTGGTCTTGTAAAATAAATAGCGTGCTATATAGTCTTTTTAAATTGTTTAATAACATTATTCATAGTTAAATTAGTGCATAACATTTAGTCAAATTTTTATTTAAAATATTTGATTTCTAGTCTAATTGATAAATATGATTTCCGGTTTTATTGATACATACAAGTCAAATTAGTATATGGATTTTAATTTAAAAATATGGCTGCTAGTCTTATTGGTATAATGTATGCCATGTGTCGACTAAATAACGCATCGCGTGTTGACTGCATGAGAAAATTTTATATTAATTTCAAATGATTTGCTCTCACAACACCTCTCTTTGTCCTTGGTAAGAAGGGTGACAATTAACCGTAATTCCATCTATTAATTCAATTTTTTTTCATATATATATATATTTATATATTCATTACATATTTATTAAGAAATAACATTATAAATCTTTACTTACATCATACTTGCTTTATCTCGTTTATTTAATACCTATTCGTGAAAATATATTTTTTTAATCCTTATAATTTTTAAAAAAGTTATTTTAGACATTAGAATAATTTTTTCACAATTTTTTCCTTTATTTATAAGCTTTTTGGCCCTCATAGTTTTTAGAGAAACTATTTTGGTCCATATTTCCTAAATTTTGTACAACTAGGTTCCTATATGTTAAAAAAAAATTAAAAATAAACTAGTAGATATTAATAAGGTATAAGCTATCTATACTTGAAACTATATTAGCGTTTACATATTTTTTTAATTCGTATACATATTTTTTTTATTCTTACTCGTTTCAATATTTATTAGATATTTTTAATAGGTATTTATTGAATTGGTTAAAATATGTATCTAATTCATGCTTATCTATTGTCATCTCTAGTCCTTAGCTTTGGATATATACATCCATTAAAGTTTTATTACTTTATATATACACATATAAAATTACTTATGTAATTAATTTAATTTTTAATCAGATACAAATTTGTTTAAACTTGATATTATGAATGACAGCATAATCAAGATAAGTCTCTAAAACTTATCAAAATAACATGAGATTTAACATATATATATATATATATATATATATATATATATATATATATTAAGTAGATTCGCTACTAATTATTAGAATTATGGGGTTTGTGTTTAATAATAATACTTGTGTAGTTAATTTGATTTTAAATTAAATACTAATTTTCTATTGATATTATCAACTAAAAAAAATTTATGTGACACCGCCAAATCAAGATAAATCTCAGAAGTTTTTTTTTAAAAAAAATTTTGAGATTATCAAAATTTTTTTGAGATTTAATATATATAAAATGTTGGCTGTGAACATAGAACAGTAAAATTATTTCCTCTTTTCTCGTGTAAATAGTTGCAGTAAATTGTAGAGAAACTTATTTTTTTCTTCATGAATACAAGAAAGTACCGTAATTGTCAAAACAAAAGGGGCAAAGAAAAGGATACGCTATGAGGTAAAACCATAAACCATCAATTACCATGTGTACTTAAAGGGGACGGGCTTGCTTTAATTTCTCGTGTAAATATTTTGTTCTAATGTTTTGTGGAAAATGTTTGCTTTTTCTTTTTTTTTTTTAAATTTAAATTTTGAAACCAGTAACTACTTGGTTATGGATGATACTTGGAAATAGATATATTTTTTTAAGAGTATCAAGAAAGAGTTTCTTCTTCACCTTGTTTGTTATGGTGCCTGAAATCTCAAGAGTCAAGACCCATACCTCTAAACTTCTTCCTATCTTGAATATTGCTATTAAATGTTTGGGTTCATTATATAGTAATTATCCGAATTTTCTTGACATATATGATCACGCAAATCTGTTAATTTAATTTCTTATCTCATATTTTTTTTTACCTAAAATATTTAAAAAATACAATTAATTAGTAAAATCATTATTATTTATTTCTTCACCTAATTTAAATTGTTAAATTCAAAACTATTGATAAAATAGAATAATTATGTTGTATTACATAATAAAAATAGAAGCAATTTAACTCATTATTATTTTATTTCTCTCATTTATTTCAAATTATTAAATTCAAAATCAATTAGAAACATGAAAAGATTATTACATTCAAAATCTATTTAGAAACATGAGAAGATGCATAATCGGTAATTTCCTACTTCTAGACAAATAGGAAACCATTGTCAAAAAGAAATGTTTAATCCAAATAAAGAAATAATTTCTGACAGGAATCCGTTCTTATCTGCAAATTGATGGGACTCGTAAATGGGTTCCAACAAATTAACAGTCGGCAAAAATTCAGGCTACATTTATATCACAAATTTTTTTATCATCTGAAAAAGTTAAATTAATAATACAAAAAAAAAAACCATTTTATTTTATACTCTATAAATTTCAAAAAAAAAATTTATCTATATTTTTATTTATACTTGCTCAAAATTTATTTCATCAAAACTTTATTTAAAGTATTTTTTTAAAAAATATTTTTAGTTAAAGTCTATTTTATAAAAAATTATCTAAATGCAATTCTAAAAAACATATATATTAAATATAATAATTAATAACATTTTAAATCTGTTTAAAAAGTTAAAAAAAAACTAATTTTTTTTTTTAAGACAGAGGAAATATCATGGGAAAAAAATATTTTGTTTTGAGAGGGTATTTTGATCCCATCCATGTTAAGCCAATATATTAAAACACTCGAGTTTGAATTTGAAAGAATTATCATATATATATATATATATATATATATATATATATATATATATATATATCCGATATTTTGAATTGAAAATTTTATCACAAGATAAGATTAGTTTTTATTTTTATTAAAACTCGTAAATGTAGGTATTGATGTAAATAACCCCATTAAACATTCTAAAAATCCTATAAAATGGTCGAAGAAGGATTTAGCGGGGGACTGACAGACACAGCAAACCTTTCGTCTACGTCGACAACTCTGACAAGATTGTGTGCGTGTTTCTTTTATAAGATACATAAAATGTCAACACTTGCACGCATTTTCAAGACTTCGAAACTCTAGCCAGTTCTCTGCTCTCTCTCTCTCTCTCTCTCTCTGTGAAAGTCTCCAAGTTGCATGCAAAGAAATCAAGATTTTCCAGAAGGACACTAGAAAGACAGAACCTTTTCTTTCAGATTCGTTTATCTTTAACAGGTAATCTTGCCTACCTTGCAACGCATTCTTCTTTCTTTAATAGCATAAATTTTGGGGGGATTTTTATTTTATTTTGTTTTATTTTGCAGGAAGGGAAGGAAAGATTAAAGATTTCGTGGGAGTTCTTTTGGTGGGGTGATATGGTTTCATTAAATGCTACATCAGGGCATACATGCCCACCTATGAAGCCTACATCAAATGGGGTGTTTCAGGGTGATAATCCTCTTGATTCTGCACTCCCTTTAGCCATTTTGCAGATTTGTTTGGTGATTGTGGTAACAAGGGGTCTTGCTTTTCTGTTAAGACCATTGAGACAGCCAAGGGTGATTGCAGAGATTGTTGTATGTACATTTCTCTTCTTCTTTTTGTAATTGATTGAAATCTGATTCGAGTTGATTTGGTTTTGCTTCTTTTTTTTTTTCCTGATATTTTATTCGTGTATGTGAAGGGTTTTTTTAGTCCTCTTTTGTCTTGGATGTGAATTGCCTTTTATTTTTATGCAGTTCTTTTAGAATACTAAAATGAGGATTAGAAATTGTATTTGAGAAAGATGATGCTTTATTGAAAATGGCTGATTCTCTGTAATTGTCTTTTCCATACAAATTACCACGTTGCTCTTTATTTTTGGCCCTGCTGTTTGATTCTATCCTATTGGTTTAAATTAATAGTCAAGTAGCACCAAATTCCTCTTTTGTTAATACGTAGACGAAAGACAACAACCGGATACGTTATTATGTTGTTCACATGAGGTTCATTAGAAAGATTGGCTTTGATTCTGCAAAAGATGATGGAGTTTGTGGCTCAACATCCACCTTATGGTTTTGATTTTGACCTTTTGATTCTTCTGATTTTTCCTATTATATCTGTTTGGATCAAGCCTAAGTTTGACAATGGTGGTTCTGTACATTCTCTTGCAGAAGAAATTCAGTAGGTTGCTTGAAAAACGCATAAATTCTCAGTTTTTATTAGTAAGATGAATGCTCATGGAATGAAAGTTTTCAAGAGTCATAGTGCAATCAAATCGAATTCTAGCAGCTAAAAATACTGTTGCTAGTAGAAGCTTTGCTAAGTTTAATATTGAAAATTTTACCTTGTGGCAGGGAGGAGTTTTACTTGGGCCATCTGCATTGGGTCGAAGCAAGGGATATTTGCAGACTGTATTCCCAACCAAGAGTCTTTTGGTGTTAGATACCCTTGCAAACCTTGGCCTTATTTTCTTTTTGTTTCTTGCTGGACTAGAGTTAGATCCTAAATCTCTTGGTCGAACTGGAAAAAGGCCCTAGCAATTGCCATTGCAGGAATTAGCCTCCCTTTTGCAATGGGAATTGGCACATCATTTATTCTCCGGTTAACCATATCTAAAGATGTAAATGGCACTGCTTTTCTTGTATTCATGGGGGTGGCACTTTCTATAACTGCCTTCCCTGTCCTGGCACGCATTCTGGCTGAGCTGAAGCTCTTAACAACCGATGTTGGCAGAATGGCAATGTCAGCTGCAGCAGTAAATGATGTGGCCGCATGGATTCTTCTTGCTCTTGCCATTTCACTGTCTGGATCTAAAACTTCTCCCATTATTTCGTTTTGGGTTTTCTTGTCTGGGTGTATTTTTGTCATTTGTTCAATTCTAATCATGCCCTCAATTTTCAAATGGATGACTAAGCGGTGCCAAGGTGGAGAGCCAGTTGAAGAGATGTATGTATGTGCTACATTAGCTGCGGTTCTAGCTGCTGGGTTTGTAACTGATGCTATTGGAATTCATGCCATGTTTGGTGCTTTTGTTATTGGAGTTCTGGTGCCAAAGGAAGGGCCATTTGCAGGTGCTCTTGTGGAAAAAGTTGAAGATCTTGTATCTGGACTCTTCCTCCCATTGTACTTTGTCTCAAGTGGACTCAAGACTAATGTAGCAACAATTCAAGGGTTCCAATCTTGGGGCCTTCTGGTTTTGGTTATTTTCACAGCGTGTTTTGGGAAGATTTTTGGCACTTTCGTAGTGTCCCTTTTATGCAAAGTGCCTCTCCGGGAGTCTCTTGCAATGGCATTCCTAATGAACACCAAAGGCCTGGTGGAACTCATCGTTCTCAATATTGGTAAAGATAGAAAGGTAATTAACTATTTTTGTTATTGAAATTTGTTCTAGTTATAACTATGCACTTTTTTTTATTGACCCAATGCCAATATGACTTGCTTGTTTGCATTTTCAGGTTTTGAATGACCAGACATTTTCCATTATGGTTCTAATGGCTCTGTTTACAACATTCATCACCACACCACTTGTTACAGCTGTATACAAGCCAGCACGAAGGGTAAAAAGGGCTGACTACAAGTATAGGACAGTTGAAAGGAGAAGTTCAACTACTGAACTTCGGATTTTGGCCTGTTTCCATGGTTCGAGAAACATTTCATCGATAATAAATCTGCTTGAAGTGTCACGAGGTGTTCAGAAGGCTGAAGGGCTTTGTGTATATGCAATGCACCTTATGGAGCTGTCTGAGAGGTCATCAGCCATATTAATGGTCCACAAGGCAAGGAAAAATGGGTTGCCCTTTTGGAACCGGGGCCAGTGGTCAGGTTCTAATCTTGTTGTTGTGGCATTTGATGCTTACCAGCAATTGAGTCGTGTTTCTGTCCGGCCAATGACTGCAATCTCTTCAATGTCTGACATGCATGAGGACATTTGTGCCACTGCTGAGAGGAAGAGAGCTGCAATCATCATTCTTCCATTCCATAAACACCAGAGGTTGGATGGCTCACTCGAGACTACTCGAACTGACTTCCAATTGGTTAACAGGAGAATTCTTGGGCATGCACCGTGCTCAGTTGGAATTCTAGTTGACCGTGGGCTTGGTGGAACTACCCAGGTATCTGCAAGTAATGTTTCTTATGTTATCACAGTCCTCTTCTTTGGAGGCCGTGATGATCGTGAAGCCCTTGCTTATGGAGCTCGAATGGCTGAACACCCTGGTGTCAGTTTAAAGGTTATTCGCTTCTTAGTGAGACCTGAAACTCTAGGAGAGACAGCCAGAGTTGATATGGACGATGGTTCTAGCACCGAATTGGGATCATTGGATGAAGATTTCCTGTCAGAGTTCAAGTTGAAAATATCCAAGGATGACTCTGTGAAATTTGAAGAGAAATTTGTTGGAAATGCTGCAGAAACTATCAATGCAATCCATGAGGTGCGCCACTGCAATCTTTTCCTGGTAGGTCGATTGCCTGATGGTGAAATAACTTTAGCTTTAAGCAGTAGTAGTGACTGTCCAGAACTGGGGCCTGTTGGGGGGCTGTTGGCCTCTTCTGATATCTCAACAACAGCATCAGTTTTGGTGGTTCAACAGTACAATAGCCTAGTATCTTTGGATTTAGCTTTGCAGATTGGGGATGAGATTTCTGGAAAAGATTCAGAATCTAAATGATGGGTTTTCAGTTTGAATCTAGGTAACGTTTAGGCAGGAGATAATGAATATAGTCATATCATTTTATTTGTTCATCAAATGACATCGCATTATTTGAGTAGATAGATGCACAGGGTGATTAAAAGTTGTTCTTTTTAGTCACTTAGCTATCCAATTTTATCCTTACAAAAAGATCTGTCCTTTTTGGTTTGGCTAGTTACTCCACAAGCTTGCCATACTTGATGACTGAACAATATATGTTAAGAGCTAAAGCCAAAGACTTCCGGAATTTTTCAATTTCCAATTTACTTGTCTATCTATATATAAAAGTAGACTTTTATGTTTTACTGACTTAGATAACCCAATGTCGTGCTTTGAGCTTCTAAATTATTCATTTGCAGAAGAAAAAATGTGGTGTTCACCTTTTCCTCGATAGCATAGAGCTTTTTCAGTTGATATGGAGTTGAAGCTGTTGAGAACAGAGACAACGATGTCAATCTTTATTCCCTATTACGTAAACAAGGATTCCCGTTATTAGCTAGATCCTTTTGTCATCATGGTAATATATTCAGAGTTGGGAAACTTTCTAAAACTTTTTGGTGTTGCTAGCTAGTAACCTACATTGGCTAGGAGATGAATGAGCATTATTGTTGTAAGAAAAGGATAAAACCCTCTAGGCTAAAAGCTCAAGTTCATCAGCACATTTTAAGAAGTAGGATGGGAAGTTGAAATCCTGAAGATGAGAATCAGAAGATTAGCTATTGATGGGATACCATCATTGCATCTCCTTCATCGGGTGGAAAAATACAGGAGATTAGTTGAACGTTGAAGTGAGAAGATTTTGTAGTTTTGTCTGCCAGATCTTCTTAGGACAAAGGTGGGTTGGAACTTGTCATTTTCAAAGACCTGATATATTATTAATTAGTTTGACCCTGATAAGAGCGAGCACAATCAACCATTGATACAAATAGGTGAAGACTTATTTGTGCAACTATAAATAATATAGTTTCTTAAAAGTAGCCAAGAAGGCTAATTAAAAACTATAGTAATTGTTTCTCAAAATCTCAACTTTGAAGCAACAAGTGAGTCATTAATAACATTTAATTAGTGCAAGTCCAGATAAGTAAAATGCTTAAAATATGAAGTGCACATCACTTTGCTCTTACTTTCCACCTGTTTTTTCTTACGGCCGATATTTTTTAATAAAAATCCTTATCATTTTAGTTCCTTTTAGTACTTCTAAGAACATGAATTTTTAGTGCTTCCTAAATGGATATTCAAGTTTCCATGTCTGCCAACTTCAACTTCCCATTAAAAGAGAACAACACCAACCACCGTTTTAAACGGGTAGAAGCAGCCAAGTATGGGAGTTGGAATCCAATTAGCTCAAGTGCAACCTAACCAGAACTTGGTGGGATAAACGTGAAGATCTCATTTTCTTCATTTTTTTTTCAATGGCTAGGACGTTTTCAGGCCAGCTTTTTCGTATCAAGTTCGCCTCTAGTTATATGTTAAGCAAGTCATTTACACATGAACTTATACATTCATGTAAATTTTCTTTCTTGCAGTTTTTTCTAAGATTTAAATCCTAGATAATAACGTAGGAAACAATCCAGTAATTACAACCAAAATTTCTTCCTTTTTCCCACGTATTAAGCCAAGAAAACTCGGCTAACATGAGATCATTATCTGGCAGTCTATTCTGAAACTTCCACTAAGTAGGACCCATCCCATCAAAGAGGAATATGTCTACCTAAAATTGACAAACTCTATTACTACAACATTACAATATGGCACATTGGCTAGTAGATTTGTGGAGGAAAGCCTAAAAAGTGATAAAAATAGAATCTTATTAACTAAACACGAACAACAAGCCATCAGATTTGATTTTACTGTCAATTTTTTGACCCCGTAGGATCCAAGAAGTCCTATATAAGGGCAGGAAGTATTGAGGGAACCAACAAGTGGTAGCACTCGCACTCTGCTTTTGCACGCTCTGCTTCTTTCTTTCTTGAGATCATCTCTTGAAAGAAAATGAGAACTGCAGGCTGCGTTATTCTTTTCTTCTTCATGTTTCTTTCTGTATCTTCAGCCTATCCAGGCTGGATGAGGCAGTACAAACCATGCAAGCAGTTAGTCCTCTATTTTCATGACATAATTTATAATGGCCAGAATGCTGCTAATGCTACAGCAGCAATTGTGGCAGCCCCAGAAGGTGCTAACTTAACCATATTAGCAGGCCAGTTTCATTTTGGCAACATTGCAGTTTTTGATGATCCCATTACCCTTGACAACAATCTTCATTCTCCACCGGTTGGCAGGGCCCAAGGCATGTATATCTATGATACCAAAGACACATTCACTTCTTGGTTAGGCTTTACTTTTGTTCTTAATAGCACAAAACACCAAGGAACCATAAATTTCATCGGAGCCGACCCAATTATGGTGAAGAGTAGAGATATATCTGTAGTTGGAGGTACTGGAGATTTTTTCATGCACAGAGGAATTGCAACCATCATGACTGATGCATTTGAAGGTGATGTCTACTTCAGGCTCCGCGTCGATGTCAAATTCTATGAATGCTGGTAAAACAGGAGATATAATATTAAGTTTCATGGTGAATGAATACTGGTGTATTTGTTTTGTATTGTATCCTAGAAATGTTCTTTGGAAGTGCAGCATACTAAGCTTGCTGATTGCATGACAAAATAAACATGTTTGATATGTAATCCTTGTTCTATTAATAATTAGCTTTCTTTAACTTTATAATTCTGAAAATTAGAAGCAAAAAGTATGTATTTCGGTTCTGCCGCTTACGAATTTGGTTAGTAGATTTCCTATGAGTATTCTATTAATCTACAGTGGTGCAAAAGAAAAGAGAGCTTGATTAGAAGTAATTGTTCCCAAGGCTGTGTAGTCGCTCTCCGATTGGCACAGGGCCACGCTATTCACCAACAGCCTATTTTAGATATGGATTGAGATCAAAATTTTGTAAGATGAAAACCAAAACTTTAACAATGACTTCTTTCTTGTCTTCTATACTTTAAGCCAAAAACAATGCACAAGACATAGAAATCGGTGTCTCGCAGTATCTTTCGATCACTTACGCTTCAGTAGGACCAAACCCAAGTTAGCTCCAAACACTTCACTAACTAAAAGGATGTCTGTGCTTCTCTTAAAACCTAATGCTACAACATCAAAAAGACAAGAGTTGTTGAGGCTATACCATCATGTTGTGCTGTACGACAATGACTAAAGATCGGCAACTGCTGTATAAGCTAAATATAATGGTTCGATCTAGCACAAAATTTGAGGACAATCTCAGCTATGACCACGAGAGATCTTGTAGTGAAATTCTTTTTCATTCTCTTCCTCCTCTTCATATCTGTATCTGCTTCTTCAGCCAAAAAATCTTTCAAACCAAAAGAGCCATGCAAACATATTGTGCTCTATTACCACGATACTCTTTTTAATGGCACAGATGTGGCTAATGCAACATCTGCTGCAGCTACCAACGCTACAAATCTGGGAGACTTCAAATTTGGTATGCTAGTTGTTTTTGATGATCCCATGACAAAAGACAATCATCTTCTTTCTAGTCCTGTTGCAAGAGCACAAGGGTTCTATTTCTATGACATGAAGTCCACCTACACTGCATGGTTTGCCTTCACTTTGATATTTAACTCCACTGAACATAAAGGTACTCTAAATATAATGGGTGCAGACTTGATGACGCTGGAGACAAGGGATTTCTCTGTGGTTGGAGGGACAGGAGACTTTTTCATGGCTAGAGGGATTGCCACGATTCATACTGACACTTTCCAGGGTGACTATTATTTTCGCCTCAAGATGGATATCAAGTTATATGAGTGTTATTAAGAATTACTAGTCTTTTCTTTGCTTTTCTTTTCATGTTCTCAGATGTGCTTGATTTGATGAATAAAATGAGATTTGTGTGTAATCTTGTATTATAATTGGAGTCTCAATATCCAAGAAAGTTTCTGTGCCCCAAGTCCTATCAATTCTGTATCAATTTGAATATTTCCCATGCTTGCGTGAACTAGTAGAAAGTTACAAGTTAAGCATATTACCCATCCTGATTTAGAGGAAGATAGAAGAAACAAAAATATCATCCATCTATTCCAGCCTTTAGCACTTACCCTTTTCTCTCTTTGATTTGCAAGTCCCCGTTATTAGTTTCTTAATGGAAAGAGGAATCAGCTTTCATCACTTAATTCCATAGTGGTGTCAAAACAAATTCTTAAACAGAAATTCATATAAAAAATTTCAAGGGTTAACTTATCATTTCAAGTTGAATTTTCTTTCTCTAGAACAAAATTCATTCTTAGTTATGGTTTTGTTCCTAAGACGGAGATGAGAAGGATGATTACCAAAGTCCTGAAATAGTCCTACTTCCGTCTCTTGTTAAAATTTACCGCAAAGTGTCACCGACTTGGTCTTTTCTAAGTTCTCGCGTGCACAAGTCTTTGTATTGCTTTCAAATGCTAAGTTGTAAAATAAGAAAGACTCATAAAGTAAGTATTAGACAAAATTCTTTAAATTACTTTTAAATGCTTACAACTATAGACTGTACTTTTTTTGGATTTCTTGGATAGTTTGACCAAATAAAAACCTCACCTATTTATAGTCATTCACTTTTTCAATAGACGGCTTGGAGTAATTTAATCTAGTGGTTACAATTGATTTTCTAAAATTCTTTTATTTAGATATTTACAAAAAAAAAACTATTTAGATATGTACATGCTATAATAATGAGAGACTCTCGGAATTCTCTAAGATATGTTTAGATTTTTTAAAACAACTCTGTAGGCTTCTCTAATACTTTAAAGTCTTTCGGAGACTTCGGATTTATCTAGCATTCTCTATTAGCATCTAAAAATATCTTTTTTGTGTAGGGCATAACACTCTCCTTTACCTAATCCGAAGACGACCTCGTCTTGCCATCATTATGCTCCTCGACTTTTTGTTCAAACTGCTACAAGGCTTCGCGGGTTCTCAACTAGCCTCGCTTTCTTGTAGGCCTTTACATTTCACGTATTACTCCTTCTTTAATGGTACTCTACGACATTGGATGGTGCGGTCATCAAGTATGACATCAACCTCCTTGTAATACAAGTCAACCACTGCTCGCAGTGCTCGTAAGACATTAATCTCTTTGTTAAATGGCATAACAAGAAACTCATAGAACTATACCTTGTCACACAAAATATTTTTGGCACATCTTCAACAACAATCCAAACTTGATAATACCTCAATCTCAAATCAAGTTTGATGTCAAATCATGCTTTTCCCAACTAGTCAAACAAATCCATTGTCAATGGCATTGATACTTGTTTTTCATCGTGATTTTGTTCAATGCCTAATAGTCCATGCACATTCTTAGTGATCCATTGTGTTTTTTTTGGAACAACTTAGGCAAACGATAAGGAGATTTTGATGGTTGGATTTGCCTTGTCTCTAACATAGCCTTCAATTATTTCCTCAATACCTTCAACTCAAGATGGGCCATTTGATAAGGTGTTATGGCTAGCGGCTTAGCACCCATCATTAATTCAATTTGATGATCAATCTCTCTTTTGGGTTCTAACTTCTTGGGCAATTCCAATGGCATCACATCATTGAACTTGGCCAACATATTGGCAATTTTTTTAGGCATCTATGCACCCTCATAATCCATTGTCTCATCTTATCTTAACGTTTTCAAGTAGGTGACTTCCCTTTCTTGAAGTCTTTGTTCACTTGTATGGACGAAATGAGTTTTATGTCTAATCTATCATGCGACTTGGTCGGTGTCATAACCTATTTTTTACCCTTATAAATTTTTATTTTTATACAAAATTTAAAAATCTAAAAAAAATTTATGTTGTATAATTTCTTGATCTTTCCATGATTTTTAGGTATTTTTACAAATTTTTAAGATTTCAATTTCTTAGGTTTATCTTCTAATTTTAATTAAATAAACAAAAGAAAATGAAATAAAAAGAGAAGAAAAGAAAGGAAAAGGAGAATGATTTGAAAAAATGATTTCGGGTTTAATTGAAAAAGATGTGAGAGGTGAGGATAGAATAGTATCCAATTAGATGTATAATTGGAAGAAAATAAAAAATCAAGGCCCTTAATTGAGAATGAATTAAGATGAAATTAAAATAAATTAAAAGAAAGGGGATTAAATAATTTCAATAGGGGCATGATTGATGAGAAAATAATGAGATGAGTACCAAAATTGAAAAAAAAACAAAAGAATGAAGGACCAAGCTGAATTTTACTCATAATCCTAAAGACAACCCACTATAAAAACCCCATTTTCTTTCATTCTTAAGAGGCGATCACTATTCACTCTTTAAAAAAAAAAAAAATCCTAGAGGGGGTCATTCATCTTTTAGAGAAAGAAACATAGAGAGAGAGAAAAAAAAAAACTTTTTACTCATCATTTATGGCCACCACAATCTAAAAAAAAAAAAAAAAAAAAAAAACCCCTTAAATCATCATTTAAACCCTAAGCCAAAATTTTGTGTGGGTTGTTTTAAAATTTAACTATTTGGTCTAGTTTTTGTTTTTATTTTAATCTGATTTTTTAGGATTTGTTCATATATATGTCCTTAGCCTAGATTCTAAATTTGGTAATTTTAGGAATCCATTTACCATTATTTTACAATTTATTTATTTATTTTGCCAATATTTTAATGATTATTGTGAGGTTGTTTCAAAATTTAATTATTAAGTTCGAGTGTATAAGTTTATATAATTGTTTTAAATCTAAATTAAAGTTTGTTCATATGTTTTTCCTTAGCATGTGTTTTAAATTTTAAATTTTTAGAGTCCATTTACTATTATTTCAAAATTTATTTATTATTCTACCATTATTTTAATTATCAATATGAGCGTGTTTAAATGTTTAATTATTAAGTCTACTGTTTAATTTTATTATAATTTGAAATTTTTAGAGTTTGTTCATGTTTTAGTCCTTAGCAGGTATTATAAATTTCATAATTTTAAGAATTCATTTACTATTTATTTGATATTTAGTTGTTATTCTACCTTATTTTTAATTATTAGTGTAGATTATTTGTGGAGCTTAATCATTTGGTCCAGGTGTTTATTTTTTTGTAATCTAAAATTTTTAGGATGTGCTTATGTGTTTGTCCGTAGTCCGTATGTTAAGTTTCAGAATTTTATGAGTTTTTTTTTTAATATTTGTTTACTATTTATTATTGTTCTTCCATTTATCTTAATTATTAATGTCTTTTATTTAAGTAGTAGATTTTTAATTCTAGTATCTTTTATTATTTTTATCTAAAATTATCAGGGTTTGTACATATGTTTATCCATATAGTGTGTGTTAAGTTTCATAATTTTATGAGTTTTATTATTATTTATTATTTTTATACCATTTATCTTAATTATTAATGCGATTTATTTTAGTAGTTGATTTTTAATTCCAGCATCTTTTAATATTTTAATTTGAAACTCTTATAGTTTGTACATAAGTTTTTTCTTGTATTCCATTTTAATTTTTTTAATTTTATGAGTCCATTTTCTATTTATTTATAATTTATTTACCATTCGGCCACTATTTTAGTTACTAATGTAATTTATTTCAGAATTTAAATTTTAAGATCAATACTTTTTGTTGTTTTAATTTGAAATTTTAAGGGTTTGTACCTATTTAGGTTTTCATTTTTCATTTTAATTTTTATAATTTTTGAAGTGTATTTGCTATTTATTTATAATTTGTTTTCAATTTTGTTATTATTATAATTATGGTGTAATATGTTTACTCGTTTATTTAGCAAGATTAGAGATCATCAAGTCTTCTAGATTCTAGGAACCGATGATGATTCCTCATTGAATTCATCTTGCTAATAAAAGAAAATATGCCTTCTTAGGATAATTAGAAAAATTTAAGTTGATCTAATGTTTCTCCTATTTGAATAGAGACTAATATTGTTCTCGAGCCACAAAATAAATAAATAAATAAATAGAATGAAATTAGATATGATAAATACAAAATCAGTTTAAACATATTTAATTAATTAGATTGTTCCTCAACATGCCAATCATGCTAGGGCATAACTGGATATGATACTAAATGAATGCAAATCCCAATCTTGGGATTCGATATCAATTTAATATAATGCCACAAATAATAATTGAAACGCCTCCGCCTCGGTCGTATTTCTACTACCTAAGTAGAGTGCTGGATGAAGCACGTTATACTTGACATACCCTAAACTCTAAGTAGTTTTCTTATGATATTCTTAGGACTTTAACAATACATTACGTATATAACTCCTTAAGATAAAATTTACATAACATAATTAAATACATTAATAAAACATTCTAGGCAATATTCAATTTCTCACGAACTCCATACCCCAAATTTACGGACAAAATAAAAACTAATATATGGTACCTCACATGAGCCGGTTAGGAGGAGCCGGCGCATCCGTACCAACTTGTCCTTTTTACGTCAAGACATAAAAAAAAATAACAACATGGTGAGCCGAAGCTCGGTAAGCGAGGGTGATGCACGTGATATGCAATGTTGTTTTGACTTCCCACCATACTCATAAATTTTAATCTTGGGTACCCCGAGTATTAGCCGATCTACTCTATTTATCATCCGGGTGGTCCGCGAGATCACCTTTTGCTACAACGGAATTATCCCTCGTTGTAACTACGTTAGCGGGAATCCATTGTCTAACGGTGCAAGCACACAACTTGATTTCATCTAGATGATCCTCGGATCATCTTCTGCTACAACGGAATTATCCCTCGTTGTAACTACTATTAGCGGAAATCCATCGTCTAATAGTGCGGACACACGGCCTAGAGTCTTGGACTACTAATACCCATTT